GTTCAGGGGGCTCTGGGGGGATGCAGGAGCCTCCAGGGTGGTGGCATCTACCCAAAACACATCTCCGAGAATTGTAGAATGGTTTGAGTGGGAAAGGACCTTAAAGACCATCCTGTTCCTCACCGCCCAGCCCTGGGATGCCTCCCACCAGCCCAGGTTGCTCCAAGCCCCCTCCAACCTGACCTTGAACCCCTCCAGGGATGGGGCAGCCACAGCTTCTCGGGGCAACCTGGGCCAGGCTCTCACCACCCTCACACCAAAGAACTTCTGCCCCACATCTCAGCTCCATCTCCCCTCTTTCAGCTCATCCGTCCCCTCCCTCATCAAGAGTCCCCCCCAGCTTTCCTGGAGCCCCTTGAGGGACTGGAAGGGGCTCCAAGGTCTCCCCGGAGCCTTCTCTTCTCCAGGCTGAACCCCCCCAACTCTCTCAGCCCCCCCTCCCAGTAGAGGGGCTCCAGCCCTCCCAGCATCTCCAGGGCTTCCTCTGGACCTGCTCCAACAGCTCCTTTCTCCGTTGGGACTCACGGGTTTTGTTCCCCGTGGCACCTGCCCGTGTGGGCTCGGGGGTGGTGACAGGGTCCCCAGTCCAAGGAGGGGTTGGGGTGGCCGTTGGCCACGTTGTCAGCTTCTCCACATCCCCGGTGCTCGCGGTGGGGTCTCCCGTTGGCTCCTGGACTTCATCACCCTCCGTGATGCTTTGATGCCCTTCTTTGAGGACGAGAGCTGGGCACAAGAGTCATTCATTTGTATTAATGAATTAATTGGGGCTTCCCCAAACCAGACACCACCCCTCGAGGATCAGGAATGGAGCTGCAGGGCTGGGGGGCTTCACCCCCACCCCCGTGGGTCCTGCACCAGGAGCTCAGGCTCCACCACGGCAAGGCAGGAGCAAGGAATGGCCCGTGGGACGAGTGACATCTCCAGTGACATGGGACAGAGATGTGGGGCTGGGGGGGGAGGACATCTCCTGAGTGGGTGGGTGGGTACAGCAGAGTCCCCATCACACGTCCTGCTGGGTTCACAACCCCCCCCACACACCCTCCTCCAGCTAATGAAGCAAGCGCTAACGACGGCACCGCCGCGGTGGATGCTGGGGAGACCTTGCCGAGGGCTGGTGGGATGTCACATGCCACCGGGACACGTCACGATGACACAGCCCCTGCTGAGCTGCCAAAAGTTGGGCAACTGGGTGCTGTGGGGGTGGCGAAATGGGGTGCCCAAGGAAACTGGCCGGATGGGGAAGGAGCATCCTTGTCACTTGGCCAGTAAAGGGCTTGGGGGGGGCCAGGGAGTGGATTTGCCACATGTCTCCGTGCTGGGGGAGCCCAGAAAACCCCAAACCTCCCCCCAAGCATGAGCCAGACCCACACCAAAGTAATAAAGTGTTGCCCTGAGCCTTGTCCCCCCCTCCCCCCAAAAAAATGTCCAGGGGAACATCCTACCCTACCACGGAGGTGGCATCTCCCTCCCTGGAGAGGCATCACACCCACTGCCTTCACACCGCCCCTTCCTCCTCCTCCTCCCTCCAGCCCTAGAGATGGGGGAGACCCCATCCAGACCCCTCCCCACCCCCAGCCCCGCTCACCAGCCCCAGAGCAGAGCACGGCGACGCAGAGCCAGCCCGTCCCGACACCTCTCCTCTCCATCCTCCTCTGCCCCACCGAGGCCCCCCGCGCCCGCTCCCCCTCTCGCAATGGCTTCCTTCCCCTTTCTGCCCCACCAACGGCTTCCTGTCAGCTCAAAGGTGTTGGCACTGAAATAGGGATGATTAATGGCCAAAAAAATCATCCCCATGTGGGGGGGGGGTCATTTCTGGGGTCAGGGATTTTCAGCCATCGGCGTTGGCGATGGAGGAAGTGATGCTCCAGCCTTGCCCCAGCTCCCTTCAGGCCAGTCCATCGCTGGTTTAAGCCCAGTCCAGGCTGGAAATTGGAGTTAAAAGAAGAGATTTGGTGCCACACGGACAAATCCCATGGTAAAACACATGACCCGCCCAGGTATGTATTTTTAATCACTAATTGGAGTTAAAAGGAGAGATTTGGTGCCACACGGACGAATCCCATGGTAAAACGCATGACCTGCCCAGGTATGTATTTTTAATCAATCAGCGTGAGCTTGAGGAACTCAAAACCAAGCCCCAACCTCCCCCCAAGCATGAGCCAGACCCACACCAAAGTAATAAAGTGTTGCCCTGAGCCTTGTCCCCCCCTCCCCCCAAAAAAATGTCCAGGGGAACATCCTACCCTACCACGGAGGTGGCATCTCCCTCCCTGGAGAGGCATCACACCCACTGCCTTCACACCGCCCCTTCCTCCTCCTCCTCCCTCCAGCCCTAGAGATGGGGGAGACCCCATCCAGACCCCTCCCCACCCCCAGCCCCGCTCACCAGCCCCAGAGCAGAGCACGGCGACGCAGAGCCAGCCCGTCCCGACACCTCTCCTCTCCATCCTCCTCTGCCCCACCGAGGCCCCCCGCGCCCGCTCCCCCTCTCGCAATGGCTTCCTTCCCCTTTCTGCCCCACCAACGGCTTCCTGTCAGCTCAAAGGTGTTGGCACTGAAATAGGGATGATTAATGGCCAAAAAAATCATCCCCATGTGGGGGGGGGGTCATTTCTGGGGTCAGGGATTTTCAGCCATCGGCGTTGGCGATGGAGGAAGTGATGCTCCAGCCTTGCCCCAGCTCCCTTCAGGCCAGTCCATCGCTGGTTTAAGCCCAGTCCAGGCTGGAAATTGGAGTTAAAAGAAGAGATTTGGTGCCACACGGACAAATCCCATGGTAAAACACATGACCCGCCCAGGTATGTATTTTTAATCACTCAGCGTGAGCTTGAGGAACTCAAAACCAAGCCCCATCACATCCTGTGTAAACACAGAAAACAAAATAAATTACTCCCTGAGCTTGTCAACAACGGACTGTTTTCACCCAAAAATAAGACGCAGCCAGGAATTGAGCTCAGATGTGTCTTGCATTTTTATTCCAGCAGCTCCTAGAGGGCTCTCCTGTGCCAGGCACTTCAAAGGAATCTCCGGTTTCATCCCTGAATAATTTACTATCCTCGAAGATGAGACAAAGAGCAGGGGGAAGCGGCACGGGAAGAGGCTTCCCAGGGCTGGAAGTGTCTGTCTGTCTGTCCGGCGGCACCAGAAAATTGATGCCAAGGTGCAGGATTTGCCCAGTTGCCACCACCGGGTGGGTTTGGGGAGCAGGGAGGGGGGGATGTGCCCCGTGTCCCACTTGTTGGGCATCCAAGTCCCCCATAAGTTCCAGCTCGAGGGGAATCCTGCTGCAGGACACGCATCCCAGGGGGATGAAATGCTACCAACGCCATGGAGCATCCCGAATCCTGCATCCCTGGGGGCTTGGAGGGATGCTCTCCTCCCTAAGGCTCTGCTGGGAAGCCTCCAAACTCCACCGACGCAGCACTTCACGTCCCAATATTTCACCCAAAAATAGAACCCCCACGTACAAACACATCCAAGAAGTGGAGCAAAACGGCACCAGCCACGTTCCTTGTCCTCTTTTCCCCCCAAGCCTGGACCACCTCCTGCCTGTGGACCCCGACACGGCCCTGAAGCATCACAGGAGGCTCGTTCACAGCCCAAAAAAGGTGCTGAGCAGGGTGCTGTGAGGTTTGGAACGTCCCCCCAGCAGTTCCAGGAGAAGTGAGGGCTGGGGAAGCTGCGAGCACCGAAACCGCAGGCGGGTGTGTGTGTGCCCGGGCGAAGGCACGTGTGTTTCCAGATTTGGGTCTCTGTCGCCCAAGTGTTATTTTTGTTTTCTCTTCCTTTCAGCAACGAAACGAAGCAGCCGAAGCCTTTGCCAAGTTTAAAAGCCCAGCAACAAGGGAAAAAAAAAAAAAAAAGTGATTAAAAAGAGCTTTTAGAGGGTCTTCAAGTTTTCCCATCCTCTTGGAGGTTGATGGTCCTGCAGGGTGCATCCCGGGAGCACCCGTTCATGTCCTTGCACTGGGTGGGCTGGGTTTGCAACCCCACTTTTGCTCCGTGGTCCTTGGCGTGGTCAGAGAAGGCAGAAAAATGAGCCCAGGCCCCCTTTGGATGCCAAAACACGGGCAGAGCTCCTGTGCCAGGGGAGCCTGTGCTTCCAGGGCACTTACATCCCCCCATCCCATCGATGGCCGGGGAACGCTGCTGGAATCGGAGGCAGCAGCAATGGGGAGGGAAGGGGGATGGCTGGGCTGGGGCCGGTCGGAGAGGAGCACCGTGCTCAGAGCAGGTTCATGGCCACACCAGAGCCCTGCCGGGGCTGTTCCAGGTCTTCTGGATGCCCCACCGAGGAGTAGAGGGTCTTCTCGTCCTGCTCCTGGCACCCTGGCCTGCCCTTCTTGTGATCCATCTGGAATTGCAAAGGGACAAAAGCTTCGTGTGGGTTTGTGGGAGCCAATCCCACCATCGGCAAAAAAGAGGGGACCCACGGGCTTGGCTCAAGGCTCTGAACCCCAAAAAAGCTCAGTGAAGACCCATCTGTCCACGCCCAGGGTTATGTCCTCTCCCCCTGGGGTCTTGCCCGTCACCTTCCTTGGGGCTGGAGCCCCTCTGGGGGTGATGGCCATGGGGCCAACTCACCTGGGCCTCAGCCTGGATGGTGAAATAGATGCTGTGGGATCCCTCCTCATCCGTGAATGGTGTCTTCTTTGTGTTGTTTTGGTGTTCTTTGGACAAACTCTGCTGGGGCACCTGGGAAAAGAGATATTTTTTTTTTAAGTGTTTCCAGGGATCAAAGCTGGCAAAGGGATCTCGAAGGCCGGGTGAGCCAAAGGAGCCACCCCACGGGCTTGGCTCAAGGCTCTGAACCCCAAAAAAGCTCAGTGAAGACCCATCTGTCCACGCCCAGGGTTATGTCCTCTCCCCCTGGGGTCTTGCCCGTCTCCTTTCCTGGGGCTGGAGCCCCTCTGGGGGTGATGGCCATGGGGCCAACTCACCTGGGCCTCAGCCTGGATGGTGAAATAGATGCTGCGGGAGCCCTCCTCATCTGTGAATGGTGTCTTCTTTGTGTTGTTTTGGTGTTCTTTGGACAAACTCTGCTGGGGCACCTGGGAAAAGAGATATTTTTTTTTTAAGTGTTTCCAGGGATCAAAGCTGGCAAAGGGATCTCGAAGGCCGGGTGAGCCAAAGGAGCCACCTTTGGTGGGACGGGGGACAGGGACCTGGTGAAGCACCAGGAAGTGCAGGCAGGTGGCTGTGGCCGTGGTGGCTCCCCATGGGCCATCCCCAACGTTGGCATTGTCCCCCTTCGAGCTTCCAGGGGGAACTAACAGACAAAACCAGGGGTTGTCCGGCTGCCGTCCTTCCTCCCTGTCCCCACCAAGTGGTCTCCAGGCTGTCCCTGTCCCATGAAAGGACTCCCCGGCTGCAGACCCTGGTCCAGCCACGTCCTGGGAAGAGAGGGTTGATCCTGCAGGAACTCACCTGCTGGTAGGGGCCGACCTGGGCGTACACCGTCGTGTACTCTGCTCTGGCCTCTGCAAGGAGAAAAAAGCACAAGGTCAGGGAGGGAAGAAGCTGCTGGAGGTGGGAAAGGGCCATGGTGGGTCCTCAGATGCCACCAGGGTGCTCCTCACCGAGGGGATGGAGGGAATCCCAGATTAAAGGGTTCTGGGGTGGGGTGAAAGCTTGACCCAGGAGCCCCCTGGAGCTGCTGGAGGTGGGTCCGGGTCCAGGCTGAGCATCCTCAACTTCTCATCCCACCATCCCTCCCGGCCCCTGTGGGAGCAGGGTTTGGCTTCCATCTCAAAGAGCTTGTTAGTGAAAAAACTGTTTTTTTTTTTTTTTTAATTCAAATACAAGATCAGCAGCTGCTTTTGGAGGACGATATGGATTTGTCTCTCCTTCACATGTCACCACCATTGCAGCAAGAATTACTGTCAACTCCTTCTTTGGCTCATCAAACACAGGAGGGGAGAGAGGACTTAAATCCTTCATAATCCCATTTTGGGGTCAAAATTTCAGTCCCTCTTGTTTGAAGTGCTGCTGCCCCAGAGGAGCAGCCACGCTGGCGTCAGCCCGTGCAGGGAGGAAGGCTTCAGGGAGAGGTTTTCCCCACGGTTGGGAGAACTGGATCCCAAATCATGGGCCAGGAGGAGCCCGTGGTCTCTGTGCTGGGTGCGCCCCGACATCCTGCTGGGGCACAGGGAAATGGGAAAAAAAGGAGGCAGGAATCCCCCAGGCGTGTCAGCTTTATTTCAACTTAGGAAAACAACGAAACATGGACATTAAAAATAGAAAAAAGCCATTGAGATCCTGGCTGGGCACTGGCTTGGTGGTGGCTGTGATGGGCACAGCATGGACCAGCCCAGAATGGAGGGAGAGGATGGGAACTGGTCCCACTGCTCTGTTCTTCATACCCCAAAACACTGAGTCATACGAGGAGATGTTGAGGGAACTGGGTGTGTTTAGTTTGGAGAAGAGGAGGCTGAGGGAGCACCTCATTGCCCTCTCCAACTCCCTGAAAGGAGGGTGTGGAGAGGTGGGGGTTGGCCTCTTCTCCCAAGGGAATAATGCCAGGAGCAGAGGAAATGGTCTGAAGTTGTGGTAGGGGCGGTTTAGCTTAGATATTGGGAATAATAACTTTACTGAGAGGGTGGTCAGGCACTGGAACAGCCTGCCCAGGGAGGTGGTGGAGTCACCATCCCTGGAGGGATTTAAGAAACATGTAGATGTCGCACTTCAGGGCATGCTCTAGTGCCCAAGATTATTGGTTTGTCCTGGGCTGCTGAGTGTGTGGTTTGACTCAATGATCTCAAAGGTCCCTCCCGACCATGAAGATTGATTCTGTGGTTCTGAGTTTAGCCGAGCTGATCCCGAAGCGATGCCAGGGGTGAGCTTCGGGTCCCAGTGCCACCATCCTGCCACTCCACCTCCAGGAGCCTCTCATTTCTGTCCCCAAGACCCAGCAGCGGTGGTTTCAGGCAGCGATTGCCGTCAGCGGTTGCTGGAGCTGTGTAGGGGTGTTTTTTTTTTGGCCATGGGGCTCACAACTCCTCCTTGCTCTGCTCTCCCACCAGTTGCCTTCTGTCAGCTCTTGTCTTTTCCCCCCAAATCCCTCTTGCTCCGGTGATCTCATGGCTGCGCTCCCGGCTCCTTCTTGGTGGGCTGGCACGGAGTTCTCCAGCGCAGGACTGGGGGAGAGGCAGGTTTCAGCCACCGCCACGTCGCCTGGGACTGTCCCCTTTCCCTCGCCTCCACTTGTGCAGGGTTGGGGCACGGGGAGTTGTCGGGGTCCCATGAGCCAGGGTAACGCTCCGGTACCAAGCCACGGCGGTGGATGGTTTCCCTTTGAGTCTTAAAGGCCACCAGGCTGTTCCCATCAGGAAAAAGGGGGAGGGAAGGAGGGAGGGAAACGCCTGGGGAAGCCCCAAAGTCCTACCTGTGTTCACAGCCTCAGCTGTGGGCAACCAGGAGATGTTCCAACCTGGTGGAGAAGGGACATGAGGCTCCAGTCAGCAGTGACAACCAAAGGGGACCCCACAAATTATCCACGGCAGCCCCCCCGGGAGCCCAGGCACCGGGGCTGGCCGTGTCCTCCCCTCTGGGGTCCCATCTCCTGCGGGGATGGTTTCCCATGGGGGACACCGCTCACCTTTGGATTTACAGTAGATGAGGACGAAAATCACCGTCAAAATCAAAAACACTATGACTCCGATCACGGATGTGACCACGATTACAACCATCTTGCTGGAGTAGGTGCCTTGAAAGAGAAGAAGATCCAGTAACAACATCCCAAAACATGTCTGACTCTTCCCGGTGTCAACATCGCGGGGGGAAAGGACACATCTCTGCTCCAACACCTCCCTGAACCCTTATTTCACACCGACACGGTCCAACACAGAACGGAGGCGACACGGCACAAGGACGAGCTGCTTTGCAAACAGAGAGAGAATCCCACCCCAGCCCCTCCACGGCCACAGTCCCCCACCCCCAATGTCACTTTGGGGACCTCACGGGTGGCTTTTTTGGGGAGGAGAAACCCCACATGGGCTGGGAGCAGCAAGTGGATATGGAGCCAGGTTCCCACCTCCAGCCCCTCCTTGGCTCTGCCTCTCCAGTGATGCTCATTGACTTGATGCTCCCACCCCCAAGCTGTGCCAGGTTCCCACCTCCAGCCCCTCCTTGGCTCTGCTTCTCCAGTGATGCTCATTGACTCGATGCTCCCACCCCAAGCTGCGACTTTTGGGGAGGACAAGCTTGAAATGTGGACACCTCCCCCTCCCACCTCCCCAAATCCCCCTGGTGACAGAAACAGCACATGGATGTTAAGAGCAGAAAGCCAGGATATCCCCCGCGGGATGTTTTGGGAGGAGATGGACTGGGCTGGCCTCAGGGTCCCCATCTCCCCCCTGCCCCGGCGGGGGGTCCGGGGTGGTCGGACGCTGACAAGGAGCTCGGGCACACTCAGACAGGTAAGAGCGAGGCCGGACAGGGACGGGCAGTTGGGCAGCTCACCGATGGTGGGAGGGTGGGTTGTGTTTTCTGGTGCTACGGGCAGCGCGGCGAGGGGAGAGAACAGGGAGAGAGGTAAGTGCCTCTGCCGGGGGGGGGGGATGTCTGTGTTCCTCACTTTGCACTCCGAGGCACAGCTCAGGGGAAAGCTGGGACCACTGGGAGCAGGATATGACCCATCCCCACCACCCATCCCCATGTCTTTCTGACCTGGTTTTCAGCTGGGATAATTCGCTTTCTAGTGACGAATGCGTTTCCAGATTGGGTATGTAAGGCATGTTGATAATGCATATTGTTTCAGTTGCTGCTAAGCGATGTTTATACTATTCAAGGACTTTTTTTCAGCTTCCCTTAGAAGCTGGGAAGGAGCATAGGCAGAACAAGCTGGGAAGGGGATATTCCATGCTCTAAACATGACACTCAGTGCATAAATAGGGTTGGCCAGGGCTGGGGGAACCCATGATCACTGTTGAGGTTGGGCTTGGGCAACGAGAACGACTTGCGTCTTGTATACTCTTTTAACATTTTTTTTTTCCTTTTCCACTACTGTTCTATTAAACTTTATCTCAAACAACAAGGTTTTTCTTCCGTTTCCTCTCCTTTTCTCTCACTTCTCCCTACCCTTCTGGTAGAGGAAGCGGGGTGGTGAGTGAAAGGCTGCATGGTCCCAGTTGTTGGCTGAGGATAAACCATGACACAAAGATGCTGGGAGGGCTGGAGCCCCTCTGCTGGGAGGGGGGGCTGAGAGAGTTGGGGGGGTTCAGCCTGGAGAAGAGAAGGCTCTGGGGAGACCTTGGAGCCCCTTCCAGTCCCTCAAGGGGCTCCAGGAAAGCTGGGGGGGGACTCTTGATGAGGGAGGGGAGTGATGGGATGAGGGGGAAGAGTTTTAAGATGAAAGAGGTGAGATGGAGCTGAGATGTGGGGCAGAACCTCTTTGGTGTGAAGGTGGTGAGAGCCTGGCCCAGGTTGCCCCGAGAAGCTGTGGCTGCCCCATCCCTGGAGGGGTTCAAGGGCAGGTTGGAGGGGGCTTGGAGCAACCTGGGCTGGTGGGAGGTGGCCCTGCCCAGGACAGGGGGAGGAACTGGATGGTCTTTAAGGTCCTTTCCCACCCAAACCATGACTGTTACCTGCACAGAGGGTGTCGGGCGAGGTGACCGTGACGTTGTGGTTGCTGACAGGGTTTTGTACCACGCACGTGAGCGTTGGCTCCTCTAGGAGTGACCCCTCCACCAGTACCATGGGCCCCTCACTCCATAGCTCGTCCCCCACCTTCCAGCCATAGATGACGTTGCCATAGTCGTGACCGGACACGGCACAGAGCAGGGTGTAGTTACAGCCATTGGCCGAGCAGTTCTGTGCCACACAGGTCACCGACGGCACCGCCAGCTCCCCTGTGGTGGGAAATCGGGGGCTGTCAGGAAATCCCCAGCCCCCCCATTTAGCACCCAGCATAGGGGAAAAAAAACCTCCCACCAATACTTAACGGGCACTTACTGTACACACGTAGGGTGAAGGTGGTTTTTTTTCTCTCCGGGGTCTTTGCGATGTAGTCACCAGTGTCATTCATCCTCAGCTGGGAGAGGGTGAGGGTTCTGCCATCCTCGTTAAAGGCCAAGCGTGAATTGTAGCTGTTGTCAAAAAATGTGACTTCGGGAGGATGGCCGGATTTCACAGTCGCTATGACCTCGTTGTGAAAGCTCCAGACTGCGTGTGTACTGAGGTTCTGGAGGAAGAAGGTGACGGACTTGCCCACAACCCCGACCACCTCTATCCTGTTGCTGACACACGCTGGGGAGAGAATCATGGAATGGTTTGAGTTGGAAGGGACCTTAAAGACCACCCAGTCCATCCAACCCCCACTCCCTGCCCTGGGCAGGGACACCTCCCACCACACCAGGTTGCTCCAAGCCCCCTCCAACCTGCCCTTGAACCCCTCCAGGGATGAGGCAGCCACAGCTTCTTGGGGCAACCTGGGCCAGGCTCTCACCACCCTCAAAATAATTTCTTCCCAAAATCTAACCTAAATATCCCCTCTTTCAGCTTCAAACCCTTCCCCATCATCCCATCGCTCCCCTCCCTGATCCAGAGTCCCCCCCAGCTTTCCTGGAGCCCCTTGAGGGACTGGAAGGGGCTCTGAGGTCTCCCTGGAGCCTTCTCTTCTCCAGGCTGAACCCCCCAACTCTCTCAGCCCCCCCTCCCAGCAGAGGGGCTCCAGCCCTCCCAGCATCTCCGGGGCCTCCTCTGGCCCCGCTCCAACAGCTCCGTGTCCTTCTGATGTTGGTGGCCCCAGAGCTGGAGGCAGCAGTGGGGTGGGGGGTGTCTCCCCAGAGCGGAGCAGAGGGGTAGAATCCCCCCCTCTCACCCTGGGGGTGCAGCCCATGGGGCAGGGGAGCTTGCTGGGTTGCCAGCGCATGGTACCAGCTCACCCAAACCCTCTGGAGCATCCCTGGGGACAAGGATGCACATTGGATCACCGACCCTGGATGCAGAGAGCATTGAGGATCACTCCATGGCAGGGTGATTGCAGGATCTCTTTTTATTTAAAATAAATTAATTGCCTGTGAGGCTCTGGGCTTTGGTCCCTCAGGAGGACCAGCGCTTTCGCATCCCTCAAGGGCTGGTTCCAGGTTCCCCTGACACTATGGGACACCAGTGTCACTTCCCACCTGTGAAGGGGAAGGGAAAAAGGGGAAAAGGTGCCAAAGGGGCAGAGTTTTGAGGCGCAAAATGAAATCGCAAGGAAGGAGTTTGCGGTGACTCAAAAGTCGGGCAGGTTTCCCCTCATCACCAAACCGAAAGGCCAAGCTCTTCTCCACGAGCCAGCAAGAAAACGGGTGGTCTCTTCCCCGAAATGTGCAGCTGCTTCTCCCCTTCTTCTGAGAAGGAAGAAGATATTTCCCTCTTATTTCGCCTCCTCCCGTTTTAAAAATTAATGCTGAGCTCTACGGGCTGGGGACGGGGGTTTTGTCCCCAGTTCCTTGGAAAGGGGAAGGATCCAGGCTCAGCTGGACCCCAAGGTTGCCACATCTCCCCGGGGTTCTGCATCTCTGGTCCCCACGGGGACATCTCAGAGACACCCAGAAGAAACATCTCTGACTGCACGGAAGGAAACCTGCTCGGGGAGATAAACTCGAAGGCGACATTTCTGCTGATCCAGCAGATAAAGACCCCGGAGAACTCGTGGCTCATCCATCATGGGTGAAACCCTCCTGGAGGCTGAGGGGAGGGGGTCAGGGCAGCACCAGCATCTTGGCCCATTTTGCCTTGTCTGAAAAGAGGCACGAAACTTCTCCTGCTCCAGACAAGGCTAAAATAGCCTCCAGTGAAACGGCGGGAGGGCGGAAAAACCCAGAGACAACACGTGGGGAAGCAGATGTTGAACCCGGAGCAGAAGGGACGGCTCCTGGTGCGTGTGACAGCCAGCTGGGCTGGAGATGAGACCTGACGCATTCACTCATCACTGGAGGGGGACCATGTGAGAGTGAGGGGCCAGCATTGGGTGCTGCTGGGCATCTCGCACCCTGGTTTGCCCAAAATCCTTGAGATGAAGTCCATCCCCTCGGGGCTGCTCCTGGACTGCTGGGTCCCTCACATGCCACCTCTGTCCCCACACACGCCAGACCCTTCCCCACATTTTTCAGCGCCTTCCCCACGTCGTCAGCCCTGTCCCCACACGTCAGACCCTTCCCCACATCTGCCACCCCATCCCCACACATCAGCACCCTGTCCCCACACGTCAGCACCATCCCCACACATGCCAGCCGTGTCCCCACACTTTCTAGCCCTGTCCCCACACTTTCCAGCCCTGTCCCCACATGTCTGCCCTGTCCCCACACATGCCAGACCCTTCCCCACACACCAGCCCCATCCCCACACATGCCAGCACCGTCCCCACACATCTGTCCCATCCACACACGTCTGCCCTGTCCCCACACTTTCCAGCCCCATCCCCACACGTCTGTCCCATCCACACACATCTGCTCTGTCCCCATACTTTCCATCCCCATCCCCACACATCTGCTCTGTCCCCACACTTCCCAGCCCTTTCCCCACACACCATCCCTGTCCCCACACATGCCAGCACTGTCCCCACACATCTGCCCTGGGGGTGTCTCCCCAGGCCCCATCCCCACACGTCTGTCCCATCCACACACATCTGCTCTGTCCCCACACTTCCCAGCCCTTTCCCCACACACCATCCCTGTCCCCACACATGCCAGCCCCATCCCCACACTTTCCAGCCCCGTCCCCACACATCCGTCCCATCCACACACATCTGCTCTGCCCCCATACTTTCCATCCCCATCCCCACACATCTGCTCTGTCCCCACACTTCCCAGCCCTTTCCCCACACACCATCCCTGTCCCCACACATGCCAGCACTGTCCCCACACATCTGCCCTGTCCCCACACTTTCCAGCCCCATCCCCACACATCTGTCCCATCCACACACATCTGCTCTGTCCCCATACTTTCCATCCCCATCCCCACACATCTGCTCTGTCCCCACACTTCCCAGCCCTGTCCCCACACACCAGCCCTGTCCCCACACTTCCCAGCCCTGTCCCCACACATGCCAGCCCCATCCCCACATTTTCCAGCGCTGTCCCAGCTCTCCCGAGAGTCCCTAAAACCACCCCGACCCCCTTCATGGACTCCTTCCCTTCCACCACGGGGAGGAAAACGAGCATCTTGTCCTTACCTGCTTGGTGGAGGAGGAGGAGGGTGAGGGGCAGGCACCGAGACACATCCATGGGTGCAGCGAGAGGGGCCGGTGGCACCCAGCATCTGCCTCAAGTGGCCGTGAAAAAGGGAAAAGGCAAGTTGACGCTGCAGAGTGGTCCCTCCCACAACGTGGGTGGAAACCATCAGGGATGAAAGCATATAATAAAAGGGGTTGGAAAGGATTAATTACTCATTGAATGTTTGCGCTGGGGCGCAAAAGACAGGGAGAAAAAGAAAAACAAAATGCCACGGGCGTTTTTTTTTTTTTTACTCCTCAGTTGCATAAATCTCCGCGTCTCCAAGAAGAACTTGGTCGATGCCACAGAGAGCACGGTCCTGGCCACCTGTGTCCCAGCTCCCCTGGGGGAAGCAGCCCCCAAAAAAAGGGGTGTCGCGGGGATTGTCACCTCTGCCTCAACAGAAGGCTCCGGGGAGAACTTAGAGCCCCTTCCAGTCCCTCAAAGGGCTCCAGGAAAGCTGGGGGGGACTCTTGATGAGGGAGGGGAGAGATGAGATGAGGGGGAAGGGTTTGAAGCTGAAAGAGGGGAGATTGAGCAGAGATGTGGGGAAGAACTTCTTTGGTGTGAGGGTGGTGAGAGCCTGGCCCAGGTTGCCCAGAGAAGCTGTGGCTGCCCCATCCCTGGAGGGGTTCAAGGCCAGGTTGGAGGGGGCTTGGAGCAACCTGGGCTGGTGGGAGGTGGCCCTGCCCAGGGCAGGGGCGGGGAGGATGGACTGGGTGGTCTTTAATGTCCCTTCCAACCCAAAAAACCCATCAAAGCAGCAGCAGCAACTGAACTGAACTGCTCAATTCAGAGACACCTGGGGGGTGGGTCCCCCCCCCCCGAAGCCTGATCCAGACTCCGACACCCTTCTCCAGCCAACCTTTCCAAAAGGCTTTCCTATAAATTTATTTTCCTTTCCCTTGTCAGCAGCAGAGGGGATCAGACCTGCCGCAGGGGGTGAGTTCTCTCGGGGTTATAAACCAGTTCAGATTTGGGGGGGAGCAGAATGAGAAAGAGATTTTTACAGCCTTGATCCCTCCTCTGGGCCACTCCAGCATCCCCACGCCGGCCATTTCTCCAAGGAAGGGGAGAGCTGCTTTGGGCTGAGGGTGGCCAGGCCACAGCCAGGTCCTGTCTTTCCTCTATCAGCCAGAAATTCAGCTTGAAATTGTCACCCCCCAGCAGGTCCTTGCTGTCCCCAGAGCCGTCAGTGCAAAAGGAGGGGGCTGGAAGAGCACGGTGGGGTCTGCCCTGTCCCCACACATGCCAGCCCCTTCCCCACACACCAGCCCCATCCCCACACATGCCAGCACCGTCCCCACACATCTGTCCCATCCACACACATCTGCTCTGTCCCCATACTTTCCATCCCCATCCCCACACATCTGCTCTGTCCCCACACTTCCCAGCCCTGTCCCCACACACCAGCCCTGTCCCCACACTTCCCAGCCCTGTCCCCACACATGCCAGCCCCATCCCCACATTTTCCAGCGCTGTCCCAGCTCTCCCGAGAGTCCCTAAAACCACCCCGACCCCCTTCATGGACTCCTTCCCTTCCACCACGGGGAGGAAAACGAGCATCTTGTCCTTACCTGCTTGGTGGAGGAGGAGGAGGGTGAGGGGCAGGCACCGAGACACATCCATGGGTGCAGCGAGAGGGGCCGGTGGCACCCAGCATCTGCCTCAAGTGGCCGTGAAAAAGGGAAAAGGCAAGTTGACGCTGCAGAGTGGTCCCTCCCACAACGTGGGTGGAAACCATCAGGGATGAAAGCATATAATAAAAGGGGTTGGAAAGGATTAATTACTCATTGAATGTTTGCGCTGGGGCGCAAAAGACAGGGAGAAAAAGAAAAACAAAATGCCACGGGCGTTTTTTTTTTTTTTACTCCTCAGTTGCATAAATCTCCGCGTCTCCAAGAAGAACTTGGTCGATGCCACAGAGAGCACGGTCCTGGCCACCTGTGTCCCAGCTCCCCTGGGGGAAGCAGCCCCCAAAAAAAGGGGTGTCGCGGGGATTGTCACCTCTGCCTCAACAGAAGGCTCCGGGGAGAACTTAGAGCCCCTTCCAGTCCCTCAAAGGGCTCCAGGAAAGCTGGGGGGGACTCTTGATGAGGGAGGGGAGAGATGGGACAAGGGGAAAGGGTTTGAAGCTGAAAGAGGGGAGATGGAGATGAGATGTGGGGCAGAAGTTCTTTGGTGTGAGGGTGGTGAGAGCCTGGCCCAGGTTGCCCCGAGAAGCTGTGGCTGCCCCATCCCTGGAGGGGTTCAAGGGCAGGTTGGAGGGGGCTTGGAGCAACCTGGGCTGGTGGGAGGTGGCCCTGCCCAGGGCAGGGGCGGGGAGGATGGACTGGGTGGTCTTTAATGTCCCTTCCAACCCAAAAAACCCATCAAAGCAGCAGCAGCAACTGAACTGAACTGCTCAATTCAGAGACACCTGGGGGGTGGGTGTAACCCCCTTTACCTCCTCTGACCATCCCCTGGGAGCTGGGGGGGCTCAATGCCCCCCCACCCCCAGCCATGGCAATATTCGCATTTTTACTTGAACCATTCCCCATACCGAGCACCCCATGTCCCCTCGCAGCCGTGGGGCGGGCTGTGACATTGGGGTGCACGCCGAGGTGGCACATCACAGCGTGTCCCATCGTTCTGTGAGGTGGCACCGGGCTCCGTCCCACACCAAGCGCAGAATTTGGGGATTTTTAACGCCTTTTTAGAGGCACGGGGGCAAGTGTGACATTGCCCTCCCCTGGAGCTGCCCCTGCTCCTGGGGGAAGTGGTTGCTTTGTGGCCAGACTTTTCCAAGGAAGCAGCTCAGATGATTTTCCGATGTAACGAAAGAAGGAAGTTAAGGAAGTGAAGAAACACTGATTTCTCTTCCCCCCACCATGCCCTCC